TTCTATAATATTTTAAAAACAGAATTGTACTTTATGTAAAATCTTAATTAAATATTCAATAAAGATAAAGGCATGGCTTCACTATTAATATTAAAAAAATAAAAAATAAAGCCAAGTGAATTTCTAATTAATATCTTAATTAAAGTATAACTATTTACTGTTATGTTTTTGTAATGCTCATATTAATAATTAGTGTTGTAAATCAAAATCTAATTTGTAGTAATGTAGTAATTATTTATTACAAAAATAGTAATTGTAATAATAATTGCTATATGTAATAATAGTTATTACATATAATAATCATTGCTACATATAATAATTATTACTATATATAGTAATAATTACTACATATAGTAATGATTACTACATGTAGTAATAATTACTATATGTAGTAATAATTACTACATATAGTAATAATCATTATATATAGTAATAATTATTACTATATGTAATAATAATTACTATATATAATAATTATCATTATATGTGTGTAGTAAGTATTAATATATATACAGTATATATATGTATATAAAAAAAAATTGATTATTAGATTTGGCAAATAAAACAAATAGACAAATTTGATAAATACAACAAATAAACAGATATGTTAAAAAATTTAATAATAATAAATATATATATAAACATAAACTTTTTATCTTAAATAAATTAGTTAAAATTCAATACTATAAAGTGTTTTACTTTGCTAATTCCTTCAGAAAAGTAAAATTCAAATAAAGTCTAATTTTGTAATCTCAAATTAGAGCTTTGTAACATAGTTATAGTTCTAATAATTACTTATCCTAAAGTACATGTTGCATATTTTAGTTGCTATTAGTGTACTAATACTCAATGCTATCAGTTTTAATACTAATTTTTCTCTTTATAATATATGTAGAATTAGTTGAATATACATTACTATTTTTGTTCTCATTTCTGCAATTTTTACTAGTTAACATATTAGTATCTAATTGGAAAAATGTTGTGTACTTGCTGTAAATACAGAAAAAAAAAATTTAATATATGCTTACATATGCATATATATAATATGTAACTAAACCCTAATGGATTATAAGAATATATCAGTCAAAGTACATATTTGTAAGTATACATTTGTAATAAAATAAATATAGAAAAATGATGCAATAGTCAAAAATTACATATAAATATAAATTAAGAGGTTAATGAGTTAAATTCTTTTTGCAAGTAATATGAAATAAATATCAATCATGTTATATAACTGTGAGGCATAGTTGAGAGCATAAGTTGCTAGTTAATAAAAATGTTGTTAGTATATTATAGAAAAGAAAAAATAATAAAAAATAATAATACTATATTAGTGATATAAGTTAAACAAGACAAATCAGAACTAAATTTTTAAGTAAACAAAAGTTTACTTAATAACCAACTATATGATGATGTTTTTTATATATATAAAATAATCTTAAATACTGTTATTGATAAAAAATTAGAATAAATATAAGACATTTGAGCATTAGACTATGCAAAATTAATTGATTGATTTTCATAATCTGGCCAGATCAAAATTTAAAAACTTGTAAAAAAAATTTTTTATATGTTTTAATAACTGAGTAGGATTTAAAAAAAAAAATTTATAAAAAGTTTATGAAAGTTTTATATATGAAATTTAAAAAAAACTCCTGACCAGTCAGGTCTGTTTAAAAGTTTTATATTATAAAAACCAATATATTAAATTTATGTGGCCTTATTAAAAATCTACTAAAATAGGCTATCATAGCAGACAAGAATAAGTATAAAACATTCATAAAATATTAAATAATAAATTTCATTATTTTAAAGAAATAATAGATGGCAATAAACATTCAAATATTATAAACATTCAGAAATTTGTTAATATTAAAATAATAATAGAATGCATATAGAAATTGAAGTAAAAAAAAGATATTTGAAATTTATTAAAGATCAAATATAAAAAATACTTAGTTAATTTAATATTAGATATTATTGCTAAAGTTAGTGATAAAGAGAATAAACATAAAGCATTGAATATTATTAAGAATTTACAGATATGGAAAGTGCTATGAGTATAAACAACTTTGTGAATTATTACAGTAAAGGAATTAAAGTAGAAAAAGATAAAAATAAAGTATTTATTTATTATCAGAATTCTGTTAATATAGATGAGAATTTAGGTTTGAATTTATTATTTTAATGAAATAGAAATGTAAAACATTTAAATATTTTAAAATTTGCTAAAAAATATTGATAAAACATATTATTTGACAATAGTTATTATTCATCCAGATAACTTAGTTTATATTATATTTGACATTATACTGAGTTTACCAATTGGTAAAAATATAAAATAGGACAACTAACTTATATATTTAGTATAGTAAAAACTGATCAATAAATAGAGCTAATAAACTGATTTGTCTCTACTGATTGGGTAACTTAGATAATTTTCTTATATAATAATTATAAAAAAATTTTGTATTAGATTTATATAATAATAATCTTTTTTTTAAAGATGTCATCTAATAATATTGATGATGAAGAATCTGTTTTGGCTTTTGGTTTTGAAATAACTAATAGCAATAAACAACAAAAAGCATTTGGTAGACCTTTTAATTCTGTTTGAAATTATTTTAACCAAATAGAAAAAAAAAGTAGACATTATTTAGCTAGTTACAAGTACTGTTCACAAAGTTAACAGCATAGAAATATATTAACTTTCAAATTGCACATTGTATACAATTGTTCTAATGCTCCAACAGATGCCTAATTTTTTTATTTCAAGCAATTAACTAAAGATAATAAAAATCAAAATACAACTAAAAAATAAAAAACTGATTTTAAAAATAAAGAAAATCTTCTTAAATATGTCAAAAATTAAGAACTATCTTCAAAAAAACAAGAGTATTTAGAAAATGGCATGTGTCTTGCATTTATTTGTATAGGTATTTTGTTTAATGTAGCTGAAAACAAAATGGTTTATGCATAAATTCAGAATCTTAAACTGGATTTTAAAATCCCAAGTTCTAAAACACTTATAGAAAAAATTTTTAATAAGCAACTAATTAAGGTAAAAGCAAAAATAGAAAATAAATTGCAAACCAAAAAAATATTATCTTGGATATATATATGTTATTATTATTTTTTTTTTTAGAATATAAAATTTTATTTTTAATATTATTCATATTTATTTTTTTATAATACTGGATAGTTAGACAGATTCATGAGGCTGATCTATTTGAAATTTTTTGCTATTAACACCTGATTAAAAAGAGCATTTGTATGCTTTATATAATTACTCAGATTTAAGACATACAGCAGAATTTCTTGCATAAGAAATTGAAAAAATGATTACTCAAATTGGAACAAAAAAAATTGTATAATAATTAGTGATAATGATGCAAATATTATAGCAGCAAGACAAATGATTACAGAAAAATTTTCTAATATAATGAACATGTCATGTATAGCCTATTAGCTAAATCTTATTTGTAAAGATATTATAAAAAATTTTTTGCTAAATGCATTTTATTACAAGCAACATTAGTTGTTTAATTTTTTAAAACATCTCATATAACTAATTTGGCATTTGAAAATAAAGTTCAAATTAATAACATAGTAGGTAAAGGTATTAAATGATATGTTGCAACTTATTGATCAAGTTATTATAATGTAATTTGTTCAATTCTATGCCTAAAAGTTGTATTTGTTCAAGTAAGTTATATTTATTTTAACAATTATAACTTTATAGTAAACTCTCAATATTGAAGATTTAATACAACAAAAAATTTGAATAATGATATTATTAAACCAAAAGTTGAAACTAACTATCTGTATGTTTAAAGATTTTAGAACATAACTTATATGTTATTTCAAATAATAAAGCATATTTGATTTTAAATAGAAAGAAATTTTATGATGACTTGGATTTTATAACTACTATTTTATAACTTATTAAAGAATTCATTAAGGTAGTATCATTTATTAGGTGATTTTTTAGAAGGGAGAGTAAAAAAAATTAAAATTTAATATAAAGAACCTGATCAGGTATATATTAAAAAAGAGGAAAAGAAGTACCTCTCTAATAAAAAAAAATCAGATGATAAATGACACCATCTTTATTTAACTTGAAAGTCAAGAGTCAACATTTGCAAACTATTTTATTCATTTAATTAAATTGATAGCTACAATTTATCAAATACTCCAAGACCAACATACAACTTTTTGAAGATATTGTATTATCTCTATTAATAGATGGCTTTTAGAGTTTAATGATGACAAATCTTAGTTGTTTTATTTTTTATATCCAAAATTTAAAGGTATATTTTATAAATTATATATATATTTATTTATTGTAAAAACTATTATTTTAAATAACATATATATTAGATTATAGTTTTAAATAAGATCAATATAAAAAAATTGTCAAATATACAAGTAATTTATAAAAAGCTTTGAGTAATAGTGAAAGTACTTGTCGAAAACTTTTAGAACAACTTGCTTTCTACAAAGATAATAAATCACCTTTTAATAATTTATTTGAACCTAATTGTTAAACATCACAAACATAATAGAAATTAATTAAAGATGTTCACAATTATCTTTTTATTTAGTAATTAGGCTTCTTACTATTACATCATATTCAGCTTCTTGTGAAAGAGTTTTTTCTACTTTGAAATGGATCTATGGCAAAAAAAAAACTTATTTAGTATTTGAAAAAGTTGAAAGTCTAGCAAAAATTCATCAATATTATACTACATATGTCAAAGAAGAAATTTTTTATATTGACTATGAACTTACTTTAGAAGATATCTTAATTGTAGCAAATAAAACTGGAAAATTAGATAGTAATGATTCTAATAAAGATTTTGATAAAGATTATGTTGAAAATAGTAAAGTAGAATTTGAATTATATAATAAAATTTTGAAATTAAAAGAAGCATTTAATTTTGATCATAAAATTTTTAAAGAAAATGATAAAAACAACAATGTTAACTCAAGTTTTGAGAATGTAGTTAAAGAAAATCCAAATTATAATTACAATGTAGATAGTTTAGTTGATAAAATTTTTATCTAATAAAAATTTAGACTAGATAAAAACAGTATATTAATATATTATCTTAAATAAACTATTATATAAAATTCTATATCTAATTCAAATTTTTTTATATAATTAATAAATAATAAATAGAGATAGATTAAATTAAAATTAATAAAACAATCACAAGTTATAGAAGCAAATTTAAAATACAATTTATTAAAAATTCTTATTGTAAGATCTTTTATTGTTGTAAAGTCTTTATTCAGTTAATATAATAACTTTGAAACTATAAATATTAGCAGCATTGTATAGTAAAACTCTATAAACATATCTTTTAGATTATTTTAATAATATACTCTGCATTATGATATTATAGTTAGGGTTTAAACAACTATATTGAAATGCTGGCTATTCAAAAATGCTATTCTTGATTTATAAATTAAGTGACTAGTATAATAAACAATAAGATGTACAATATACTAATTTTGATAAATTAAGAAAAACACTTTAAATAATAGACTGCAGACTAGTAAATTACTATAGAATTTTAAACTCTGATCATAGTCTTAATTTTGTTTACTAGATAAGATTTCAAAAAAAAGTTTTTTAAAAATTTATGAAATCTATTATATATTTTAAGTTTATCTATATATTCTAAGGCTAATTCTGTTAAAACTGGTTATGATTTTGAGTATAACAAATCCAGGCAGCTTATAAAAATTACTATTCTTTCAAATATTATTCAACTAGATTTTAAATATACAAAGTCAAATATTTTCAAGTATTTCAATTTTTTTAATATTGTTTATATGATTATACCAATCATTTTTAGAATTATATGTAAAACTTCATGCATAAGCAATAACTTTAATATATTAAAAAAAAAAATCAAATACCTGATCAAGAATTTAATTATTTTGAGCATATTATTTTAAAAATATCAGATTTAAGAATTCAATCTATATGTTGATAATGTACAAATATACTGAAAATAGGCACAGATTAATGCATAATAGGCATCTTATATAAAAACCTTAGATTATGTGATTTGAAAAGCATTTTTGTGTAAGGTAATAATTTAAATTATGTGAGAAACTATATACATATTTCTTATTGTTATAATTTTAATCTATCATTGTATAATGTGATAATTATGAATTTAAAATAATTTAACAATTATATATATGCTTTTATTATTTATTTTTTTTTTTGGTATTAAGGTGACCTCTTTGGTCTTTTGACTTTTATTAATCACTTATTGGTATTGTGATTCAATA